GGCTTTAAGAGATGAAGGAAGCATTTGTTCAAATTCATTTAATTGTCTTTTGATTTCTTCTTCTGTATTAGTAACATTTGAATCACACCTCTTTCGTTTCTTCATTATCGAATAGATGATATGATTTTATGAGATGAATAGAATAAATTTAAGTTTTGACAAAATTTGTTTCAATAACTCTTCTTCTGAACTTTTTCTATTCTTTTTTTTTTTCTAGTGTTTTTGATTTTTGAATGAAATTCAAAAAAATGAACCTTTTAACTTTGTTGTTATATATTACAAAAATAAAATCTAAAAATCTAAAAAAAACGAAAGAATAACCACAAATATTAATTAAATGACCATCACATCAATTGTTATTTGTCTTTTCATATCAACAACACTCGGCAAACCTGTTTTTGTAGAAGCAAAAGAAAATGAAATCACCAGAGAAGTACTTCCAGGAATGATCTTTCTCCCTCTTTTTGTATTGGCAACAGTTCTATTCATTGTTATTCGTACAACATTTCAAGCAGTTCGTGATCGTAGAAAAAGACCATTAAACAGTGCTGAAGTGGTAGAACAAATGACATTTTAATTAATTTTTGTATTAAAATAAAAAATATAAAAGAAACCAATTGAGAATAAATTAAACGCTTAGAAGCATTTTCTGTGGACAATAGCTGGTCCTGATTCATCATATTCTTCTTTGGTAATCCACATATTTTGGAATGTAGAAAGTGATGCAAGAATTGATCCTCCAATCCAAACTGAATATTTTCTTTCTGGTGGGGCAATAACCTTAATCTTCATTGTTGGTGGTGCTAATTGAATCATTTCTTTTTCAAGTCTGGTGTTAATACCTGGATACATTGATGTTCCTCCTGAAAGAACAATATTTCCATAAAGATCCTTTCTAATATCAACATCACATTTCATAATTGAATTGTAGGTAGTTTCATGAATACCATTACATTCCATACCAAGGAATGATGGTTGGAAGAGTGCTTCTGGGCATCTGAATCTTTCATTTCCAACTGTGATAACTTGTCCATCTGGAAGTTCATAGCTCTTTTCAAGTTCACTGCTTGATGCTGCTTTTTGCATTTCTTCATTGAAATCTTCTGCAACATAGCAAAGTTTTTCTTTAATATCTCTAACAATTTCTCTTTCTGCAGTAGTAGTGAATGCATATCCTCTTTCAGTTAAGATTTTCATAAGATAATCAGTAAGATCACGTCCTGCAAGATCAAGTCTAAGAATAGCATGTGGAAGTGAGAATCCTTCATAAATTGGAACAGTGTGTGAAACTCCATCACCTGAATCCATAACAATACCAGTTGTCT